CAGGAGAATGGAGTTGTAGTGGTGAAATAGTGCCCATGTTTGCTGCCAAACCGAGCAAAAGGTTTTTCCGACTGGGTCGTCTCAATTTTAACCCTACGTTGGAAAATCCCCCTTTCATACCCAGTGTATGCGAAAACGCCTTGTTCATGTGATCCGATGGTGCATTTTTATTTTGAAATCCGTTAAACCCGCTTTACGCGTCACCACCGGTTATAACATGTCATGCAACATGTTGTACATCTTATGTAACATGTTATCGCTCGCCAATCGTTATTGGTTCGTCTCAGGGAGTAGATGGGTCAGGGAGACCATTGCCCGACTCTGTGTTCTCTTGCTGTTTTGAATAAGGCGAAATTTGGGCTAGAATGAAGGGCGCTATCACAAGATACGGGGGGCGATGTGGTGCAGCGCACCATAAACCGCGTAGTACACCCCCGTTCTGTTGAAAACGAGACCAAACCTTAGACAGGGAGGAGAGTCTCCAGGGTACTTCAGCGATTTCCATTTTCCATGAGTTTTGCCCCCCCCCCCCCCCCCCCTGAAGGACCTTTTTGAAAGGCAGGGCGAGGTTACATCAAAAATGTCACCGAGCCGTCAGCAATGGGGGACGATCGAGTTGTTTCATTGCATCAGCACTATGAATTTGAATAGAAATAGTTTTGTTTATATTTCTCGACTATGCCTCGGTTTTATTGCATTTCGCCCTTCCTGCTTTCGGAACTGTTTGTGTTGTAATAATTACCTTGTAATTATTACAGCATTTCGCAAGCTCCCTGTCAAGAAATCAGCTATGGCGAAAACGGTAAGTTGCATATTTATAGTGCTGGTAAGGTAGGGGAGGCATGGTGTGGTTCACTAGGACAGAAAGCGACTTTTTCGCGTTTCGCAGCGCGAAACATTTTCCGCTGCGGGAACCTCAGGTCCACCGCTGATCATCAGTGGACCCGAGGTTCCCGCAGCGAATCATCAGTGGACCCGAGATTCCCGCAGCGAACAATGTTTTTCGCGCTGCGAAACGCGAAAAAGTCGCTTTCTGTCCTAGTGAACCACACCCGAGCGAAGCAATTGTGGTGCAGCAGCGTGCTACTGCCTACAGGAATACCAAATTCGGCAGAGGATGTAATTCCCAGGGTGCGTAAACCATTTCGCTCTTGCTTTACACTCATTCCAGAGCTTCTTTCTTCTCGTAATAACTTCGTATAGCATACATTATACGAAGTTATACGAAGCACATGCCCCTCCCCCTCCTCCTCATCCTACCGGGGAATGTTTTTCGAACTCAAAAATTATGCAATTGGTAAACGGGCCTATTTTTCAGAGCACGGCACTAAGAGGGAAACGACGCCGAAGTTCTCGACTACAAAAGGTCAGGATCCTATATTTTTTCTCGTCCTTTTTATAACCAGTATATCTATTATAGGAAAGGATTGACTACCGTGAAATACTTAATGTGCAGCTACTAAGCCCTAGTTGTCATGATGGAAAGCGGCGAAGAAGTAAGCAAGATGGAACTCGTCATTCATGTAATACTCTGACGAAAAATCAGAGTGAAGACAGGATTTCAAAACGATGCAACCCCCCAAGATCTACAAGAAACCAGACGAGGGTATTTTTTACTTTTCAGTTCAATAGTTTGGATTAGTATTCGAATTGGTCAATTTCTGGAAAGTGAATGTCAGATAAAAAAGATGTTCCACCCTCCAAAATTATCATTCAGAACGAAAATCATAACCAGTTGTAGACCCGTAATAACTGAACCTTCATTAAGTTGATCACCATCATGAAGATTAATAACCTGTTATAAGCTGAAAATTGCAGTAAGGGCCCGTAGATGTGACACAGAGGCTCTATCATTGCAAAAAGCTCCATTTAGAAAGGATGTTTCAAAACGCAAGACATTGTGTTCTTCGTCCTGCTTGCCGCGGTAGCCGATACTAACGTCCTGCAGCATATGCTGTGTCACCCGTAGCTTCTTGGGTGCGATGTCAGACGTGCGAATCGCAGCGATTCGCCACTGGTGGAGTTGGGTTGCCGCCAGCGGATCCGCGGACGGTAGCGAATCGGTCGATTCGCGACGATCTGGTCGATTCGCAAAGTCTGACACAGGACCGTGTTCGCCCTGCGTTCGCTGAACTTGATTGCGCCCATTACCGCTCAGTTCACTTTTTGGATTATCGAAGCCCTTAAAAATAGGAGGGATCAATCATTGGATCGATTTGCCTTTATGATTATCCCGTGAAACTCCCTATGCTTTTGAATGACTTCCATGATTCAACTCGGTTTGCAGCATTAGTCCATCGAAATATGCCCACTGTAATAGCTATTGTAGGCATGTTTTTCAACCAATGTAGTGGTTACTGCCCCAATCTGAAGACAGCAGAATGATTCACTCACAGCTCCCAATTTTGGCTCAAATGCTTGTGGATAGCGAGCGCCTTGCTAGTTCAGTTGCTCTCTAGTCCTAGTGCGCGTTTCTTCTTAGGGGACTGGTCTAGTTTTAGAAATGGCGTTTTTCAAATTCTGATTGAGTTTCTTTTTTCTCTTATTTATGCTTGTAGTAAGGTATCATTCAGAGCATATACAGTGGGTGGCCGGAAAAAAGACACTTACTGCCCAAATGAGCGCCACATATTCGACTGGTTTTTCGACAGCAGCAGGGCGCGATGGTTAAGTGAAAGTTTTTACGAGCGAAATATTTAGGGGTTTTCTCACAGTAAAATCAAAAGAGGCCTCTTCACTGCTGCCCTGCAGTCTTCAGAATATGACGTCATCTGACGCCGTCAGAGCTCAGGACAAACAGTCCAGAAGGATGGGCGTGGCATAACGGAAAAGGCTGCGATCCTCGGCCGCTTTCGGAGCTGTTCAGCCCCTAGTCAAGAACGTAAGAAGTGTGACTGAACAAAAACTCACCTTGGAAAGCCGCTAGGCAGGGAGCTGAAGTGGGCGTGGTCGGAATCGGCCGAGGGGATTGCAGTCGTTTCCGACCACGCCCACCCTGCTGGGACTGTTGCTTTAACAAATGCTTACCGTAATCGCTCCGACCTGGAAGCTGGCTCCATAATTTCTTCAATGGATTAACTGTCGAATAGCTTCCCAGTGACATTAGCTGTGAATATCCAGAACCACTTTTGACCAGCATTTCAAGGACGTCGTAATGGTCTATGGTACCTCCGACGACTGCTGAAGCGAGTATTCGCGAACTATATTTCCGTGGGAAAAATCTTCTGATGTCGTCGGTGTAGAAGGCTGTCGTATAAGGTTTAGATAGATTAGAAGGTGCTCTTCAATATGAGTTGGGGGCAGTCGATTTGATTCTAGCAAAGTGTGATTAATGCTGTCTGAAATGTGGAGTCAAGTGTCTCTTTTTTTTGGCCACCCCTGTACATGAAGCTACTATCATTTTCGAGAGGCAAGCATTTCGTCTTTTACGCCAGCATGCAATACATTGGATGCTTTTTGCGGCGATTCTGTATTAAGGGGTGCCATTTTTGGGACAGTTTGAACTGTGATGTGTAGATCAGCATGGTCAGGCTGTTTAGTTGCTCAACAACAATAATCTGCCGTAGTTGCTGTGTATGCTGTAGCCACTCTAGCGCCGAGCAAATGGGTTGTAGGTGAAAAACGTGGAATACCTAGTCTATTAATGCGTAGTCATCATTCAAAGAAGGGCCCACATATGGTCAGTACGATTCGTTTCTTTGGCTTTACGCGAATGTTCACGACTTTGCAGCAAAAAAACAAAATTATCGAAGGAATTAGAGAAAATAGAGAGACGCGTTCATACATGGTTTGATTCATTTTGTTGGGGTATTGGACTGGAATCGGTGTATCTTTCATCCCTTTACTAAAACTTTAGGTATATTTGTATTAAGCGAACAGCTTCAGATCGGGGTCAAGTTTTGGGGATGGGATACACCAACTATTCTCGAGAAGTAAGACATTGTATCAGCCAGCAGACCCAGCCCATGGTGGGCGTAGGCGATGCATCGAATGAGCGAGTACTGGGGACATGAATTTTCAGATTCGGTCACAAAACAGCATTATAATCTGGGGGAGAGAGAGACCAAAAAGTGGAATATAGTGGTTGGACGTCTTTTGCGTTGGTAAGACCAGACTCAATGAAAATGTTATATTGGGTCCAGGGGATCGGAAAATGAGGATCGAGGTCAGCGAAGGAGAGGAAGGTCAACTGCTATGGTGGGCGGGCATGCACAAAGTGGGCGGAGTTATCCACGAAACATTATAACTCGGTCCAAGAAGTCCTGGAGACGGGAAAAAAGTGGATAGAGGTCAGCGAAGGAAGAGAAGTTAGCTGCTATAGGTGGGCGCGGCGTGCACAAAAGTGGGCGGAGTTTGCGTCGAAGTTATAATTCGGTCTCAAGAGTCCTGGAGACCGGGGAAAGAGTGGATAGGGTCAGCGAAGGAAATGAAGTTAACTGCTATTGGTGGGCGGGCATGCAGCAATGTAGGCGGATTATCTACGAAACATCATAACTCGGTTCCAAGATGCCCTGGAGACCGGGAAAAAAGTGGTTAGTGTCTGTCAAGGAAGGGAATGTCAACAGTTTATCGACGAAACATTGTGAATCGGTCCCAAGATGTCCCGGAGACCGGAAAAAAGGTGGAAATAGTACGACAACGAAAGGGAGGTCGGAAGGATGGGTGGGCAGCCAAACTGAGAATAAATACCGAGCGAGCCACTTCCCTTCCCATACTGGGCATGTATTTGGTGCAGCAGTAGGGTCACCCCATCTCAAATAGACGTCCAGTGTAGGAAGAGAAGCGGCTTGTTCAACGCTAATGTGCGAAAATAACTGAAAAGTACACAACTCCACTTCGTCGATGAAACACTACAAAATTTTCAGTGTGCGTCCAACTCCAAAAATCGTGGCGGTAAAACTCCTAAGGAAGCCCTCGTTCTCGTAAGGAGGGTAGTAGGAGTGCAATCGTTCGATCTTTTAAGCACTCTAGTGGCAGTCGATCGACCCATAACTCGATCTATGGGAACTCTACGTGAGATTCCCATACAGGCTGTAAGCTGGGAACCTCCTAAGCGAAAGACAACAGCTATGGTCGAAAGCAGTTCGAAACCAAGAAAAAGTCTGGTAAGTTGAACTTTTATTGGCGGACGCCATTTGATGAGAAGGGTGCAGATTGCTAGGACAGAGCGATTTTGTCGCTCTTCGCAATGCGAAACTTCTCTGTAACCTCAGGTTCAGTCATGATCGGGGTAGACCTGGCGTTTCTGCAGCGAAAAAGTTTCGCACTGTGGGAAGAGAAAAAGTCGCTTTGTTTCAGCGAACCACACCCGATGAAAGCTGAGAGACCGCTTGGGGTGGAAGAGGTAGAAAGCGCTGCGTTAATTAGATGTAGAGGGTCAGGCTTTTTAAGCCATGGCTGCGCTATTAATACTTTATATACCGGCAGGGATTAATTTCGTGTGATTGAACAAGAACTGATCATTTATTTCTGGATGTTCTACTTGATCGTGGGGTACTCCGACAATGATGATTTTCTAAAGTGTTGCTGGAAAGCGCTTTAGTGATACCTTCGAAGCTTGCACTTTCAGCAGAATTTCACCTAGTTCAGTGAAGAATTCACATAAATTCGAATTACATAGGTGAGTTCTTTTTCGGACACACATATTAACCTTTTTAACGATATAAAATAAATTGCAGTTCTGAAAAATTATCAAATGGAAGGGTTGCAATGGAGAATAAGAGACTGATCGAAAAATGTAAATTGTCACTAGTAAAAAAGCTGCGCAATCGTAGATGAGGGTAGAAGTCCGGCGCAAGAGTTCGTCCCGGAAGTAGTAATCTAAATTTTGTAAGGGCTACTCGATTCTAAAGAGCTGGAGGGCCCCTGCGCCACGAGTCTGTTTGAAGAAAAAATAAGATCCGAAAAAAATGCGATGTGATTAAAGGAGCGGAAATTGGCTCAGAAAAACAGAATTGTATCAGTTAGAAGGAGGAACTAAAGAATAACGGCGTTGCTATTAATCGATAGTGACCAGGTTCAATTTGCAAAGTTGTTTCCGCTAAGTCTACTCACAGCTTAAGCAAAACTCAGAAGGGTTTCAAAACTGCCTTTCCTCGATAGGCCAGATTGTTGCACGTCAGGACCGGTTATTGTTCTAAATTTAAGCAAGTTCACGCAATTGTACAGCTTCGAGAACTACGATTTATTCCATAAAATTTTGACCGGACCGGATCAATTATTGCCGTTACTCTCGGCTAATGTGTGCTCGCCTAATTGTAAACAAGTCAGCTTCGAATATAGGCTTCATATGTAACGTTAGGAATTCTAAGCTCAATGTGTAGACAAATATATTATTCAGAACATTGTCAACTGTTTCTCGTATGTTTCCTTTCGTCGCACATTTTCTTTGCGCCAGTTTAGAACTTGTAATGCCGTTTTGCCATATGATTTTCAAATAGATCCCAAGCTGTCTCACTAGATGCCTTCAAAATGTTCTCTGAGAGAGGTCTCTTTTTGTCACTACTATAGTGAATCAGGACGGGCAACAGAGTGACTCAAAATAAACTTGAAGAGTAATAGAACTGTATTTTCATCGTCGTAGCAAGCGAGAAGTTGCCTGCACTTTCGGGTGTTGTTGCGTTTCACCGTGGCTGTTTCAGGCGCACCTGACAACTTTTCAAAACGAAATTCATCTTTAACGATAGTTGGCGCCAGCAGTTCACTACAGCACCACTTATCAATGTTGAAAAGATGTGTCGAGTCTTTCTGCTTGTATGGTTGGTTAAGAGTGGAAGCATCTTTTACCAGTAGTGTTTAAAAACTTTAATGCTGCTGTTGCCAAATTAGATGATAAGTGAACATCACAACAACGAATGCATCTTAAAAAAGATATTCGGTTGCGACCAAGAATGTTTTTCAAAACAGTTCATGTTTTACTTTCTTTGAGCTGAGCAATTCGCTTCGACGTTCAATGTGTAATGATCCTTCAAAATACTCAACCCTTGAAACCCAGAAAGACTGCAAGATGCTGCTCAACTAAGAAGAATACTTCTTTTCACTACTCAGACTGTATCTTTTCAGATTTTCGTTTCCGCTCACCATCGGAATTCACTGCTTATCGGGTAAGTCACTTTTACAGATTCGAACACTTGTAAGACATTTTTTCCGAGGTGCTGTGACAATAAGTAAATTTTCAAGAACGGTATTGTGTCGGGTGAGTTCGTCCAGAATATTCGTAACGCATATGCTATCCTGGAAAGATCACCAAAGCCATACACCGTCGAGCAACTTGCTGTTGCTGTCATGCAGGCTTTTGTCGACGTTAGCCCTCGGATTATGACCATGCCTTGAAGTGGGTAGTCGCTTGGTTTTCGAACCGGCATCTATTTTTTGAGATATTCAGTGAAAATGATTTCTTCAGACAACTCGCTGATGCCGTGATCAGCAAAGATGGGATATTGGCATTCTGTGAGGACCATGGTTTGCCCCAGGACAACTTGCGTATAGTGAAGGAGGATGATGTTGAAAATATAGAAAACTTGGCGAATGATCTAGACTCGAACTAGAAGTTGATAATCTCCTCAGTGCATATCCAGGATTTCTTTCCCCTTGAAAAGGCAGGCGTAATTTTGTCATCCCCTCATTGACTGCCTTCCTTCGAAATGTGTGGTACGACATACTCGATAGCGTGACTCTGATCAAATTTCTTTTCAGAATTAACGGAGATGTCAAGAGCAATTACGTGAAAGGTTGTTTTTGTTCTGTGACGATAATCTTACCAAGAATGAATGTAACGTTCGCATTTTCATAAAGTTCAAAGATTGTACATTTTTAAATATATTGTCTCTGTTTTGCATCCTTCCACACGAGATGTTGCATTATATGTATAGTCTGTCAGTGGCCGAAATTGAGTTCATATGGACTGATAGAGCAATTACATTCGTTTTGCCGAAATGAAATGTTGTAATGGGTTGTTGTCTATGCAAAGAGTTATCTGGTGAGAACCTCATACGTTACCGTCTTGATGGTTACTTTCAGGGCCACAATAGTACCTATACACTTTGAATGATAACCACTTTCTTTTTGCAATCGCTACAGTGCAGATAACGCAGTGGTGGTGCTTGCCGCGAACATGGCTCTTGAATAAGGTGGCATATGCTATGTAGATGTGCGACTGGTGTTTTACACGATCTACCAATTACAGTCAGTATTCTGATGGCCTTTGGGTCATATTACAGCTGTTGCAGTGCTAGTCGTTGTTCCATGAAAAAATCCGAAATTGGGATAAGAAGCCAGTCAAACTGTTTAGTTGCGCTGTTAAATACGCTCAAGCCCTTGCACGAATACAGTGATTCGCCAGCGATTAGCTAGCCAATCGCTGTATTCGCAAAGTGTGACACCGGCCTCATCGTTCTGCGTGAAATAAGTCGGACTTAGAATTTGCAAGATGCTTCTATGCTAAATTTGTACGTGTGTGATGAGCATGAGTAATTAGCATGGTCATTCCTGTTGCAGAGAATGGAAATGAAATTCTTTTCTTAATTCACTTGTCTATTTTTCAATAATGCTTGTCAAATATAGGGGTACGATTTGAAGACTGATGCGCAACTACGGAACGGTGACAGAAAATGTAATATATCCTTTTTATTTCTTGTTGAGAGGTAAAGAAATCCCATGGGCGTGACTTCATTTAGGAAACCCGCAGTTCAACATCAAATTCAGATCGGTCCCGATGGATGAAATTTTACTCGAATTTGCAGCGCTTGTGAGTGCTACCACTTTTACTTTGCTTTAATTTTTAACGTGTAGTGATTTGGTGGGAGAAGCTGTGGTGATGGTACTTTTATTACTTTCTCCATTAACGCCTTTCTTGATATCGACATTGGTTCTCCCACCAGGGCCAAAGCTGATAGTCCAAACTTTTTACAATTATATTTAATCTAACACAAAAATCAGAACAAAACCTATTGTTAACTGTAAGCTTCAAATACTGATTTCATTGGTTTGTACGTGAGCTCGATTCCAGATGAACATGGAACGCCTCATTATGGGTGCGCTCATATTTGCGACAGCCTGCAACCGTTTGCAGCTCGAATGTGGAGTAGATACGTATCGTTAGGTTGGTGTCAGAGTCCGCGATCCGTCGCAGGTTTCGCTGATTTCAGCGATTTTCGCGATTTGCGCGATTTTCGCGATTTGCGCGATTTTCGCGAAACCTGCGATGGATCACAGGAGTTGGAAGTGCCCGATGAATACTGCGAGGTGTTGTTTAATCCTGCTGCGAATTCTGCTTGGCAGTAAAGATTGGAAAGACGAATGTTTGTGGATTCTACTTGTTTCATGTTCAATGTCTATCAGTTCATTGAAATGCTCATGATTCGTTCCTATTCTATCCTATAATTCTAGATTCTATAATATCAAACAAGTGGAATCATGAGGGCAGTCGTCATTCAGCCATCACTATCAAGCAGAAGTGGCGGCGGATTGGAGAACACCTTGCAGTATTGATGGGGCACTTGTGATTTCCGTGACCCGTCGCGCAAATCGCGAAAATCGCGCAAATCGCGAAAATCAGCGAAACCTGCGACGGATCGCGGACTCTGACACCAGCCTTAAGGTTGCACGATCGTTATATCGCATGAACAATAAGTAGTTACTTCGCATATGAACTGCAAGACGGTCGCAAAGTATGACCGCACCGAGTGCTCGAATCATTTTACAGTTTGGCTTGCATTAGAGTGATCAGATCCATCGTGCGACCGCAGGATTTGCGATCACACGATTGGTACGTATCTTCTACACACTCAAAGTGCACAATGATTCGACTCTAAAGCCGCTGCAATATCGGTTGGAGACTATCAGGGAAACGACTGAATACGATGCTAATATTTCAAATATCAAACGGAAATTGCTACTGCAAATGAGGGTGTCACGCGGTTGTTTTATTAGTCCGGCAAAAGCAGAGGGACCAAGATTTGCAAGAAGTTAAGTTAGCTCACTGTGAGAGTAAATACTAAATCTGCAGTTTCTGTCTACCATTATTTGTCAAAGATTTTTTCATCTTTCGTTATGGCGGTCACGTTGGCTGTGGTTTTTGACGTCTACCAACATAGTCGGTTTGGGAATCGTCCTTTTTATAGCTGCTGTATTTAAGCAAGGTTCGTTTGGTTTCAGAACTTGTTACCCCTATTTCATTGTTAGACCATTCAAATCTGTTAGTTTTAGCCGTATTTTATGAAGTGCTACCAAGAACTGGATTGGTGCGCTACGAAACTGCATTGGACACAACTCACCTAATGGAAATGCGTTTGGAGCGGTTCGAAAGGCAACACATGATGCAACAGGCAGGGGATTTCATACGCTTAATATATCCTGCCAGACCAAAATGGATAGAGTACTGAATATTTTTTAACGTTCTCCTCTTTTCCTTGCAACTATTATTTATTGTGTATCTTTCTGATTTTCACATTATGCCCTTAAGCTGAAACTATTACTGCTGAGGTTTTCTTTCAGCAGGCCTACCTCGAAAAGCTCCAAAAAATAGAGCAGGCTGTGCGCAGCTCAGTAGCAGAAGTTCGTTCGGAGATTCTCAATACCATTGCTGAGGTCAGTTGTTGAAAAAGAAATCCATTTGCATAGTGTAACAATCTCCAAAGACAACTTCAGTTGCGCTCTGAAATGGAGAGGTACAAGGCCGAGAAGGAGGAGCTCGCTCATACAGGTACACAGAAATTAGCGAGCCAAATAGCTGATCAGTTGGTGACAATGGAAGGACAATTGAACAGTCGCTTGGCTGACGTCGAGTCTCAAATTACGATAGCTAGTGAACGAATGCGCGCAGCCACCAACACATGTTCTGCAACATCGTCTTTTGAAGCATTGCGATCTACTGTAGAGAAGAAGCGAGGGGCAGTCAATTTAGCCAGTAGGTCACATGGTAGGTGAAGATCACAGCTCCTATTATTTCTCTTACCAGGAAAGCTATAAACTTTCCATGAAACTTTGAATTTCCCAGATATATCGATAGAGCTTCAAAGCTGATTACAAATATGGAAACTAAAACTGCAAAATGAACCTGCCAAGGAAGTTGTGAGCAGTCAAAGTTGGCTGGAAGTAAAGCGTTACATATGAACCGTGCTAGCCTCCGGGCTTTCAGAGTCGCCGTGGAGTAGTGGTAATGCTCTCTCCAGCCGGTGGGTCAACAGTTCTCTTCCCGTTGAGCGCAAATTTCGAGAGCACTACCACTACTCCATGGCGACTTCTGAAAGCCGGAGTTAGCACGGTTCATATGTAATGCTTTACTTCCAGCCAACTTTGACTGCTCACAACTTCCTTGGCAGGTTCATTTTGCAGTTTTAGTTTCCATATTTGTAATCAGCGTTTGAAGCTCTATCGATATATCTGGGTCTCAATTCAAAGTTTCATGGGAAGTTGAATTCCTTGGTAAGTTTATCGTGTGGTAATTGACTAGTCTATGTAAACTGCAATTGTTCATCAAAATTTCCACCTTGTTGAATCAACAACTTTA